TCCCAACCCACTCAGCCCCCAGAGTCTTGCCACCTCGGAATTCCAGTTTCTCCTCCTCAGCGGCACCAGCATTGGCTTATTGTTGTCAGAATACAGAGTTTTTAGAAGGATTCAAACTTGCCTGGGGTGATGAAATCGAGCGAGGGTGAAAGCCTCCAGATTTTCTCTCTCGTAACTTCTCTACCTGTAAATGCGTGGGAGAATAATTGGATACCGGCGCGACCGCGTATCTAGGCGAAACGCCTTTGTGTGTATGAGACGCGACTGCCGCCGTCGCCGTCCTCTCTCGCGGCGCCGCACTCGCTGACGCGCCGGGGCTTCCTTGACTTGTTGCAGTGGTGCAAGTTCGACGACGACGTGGTGTCGCGATGCACGAAGCAGGAGGCGATGGAGAACAACTTTGGCGGTCACGAGGAGGACGTGAGCGTGAAGCGCTGCACGAACGCGTACATGCTCGTCTACGTGCGCGACAGCAGTCTAGGTGAGCGGGCTCCTCCGCGCCAAGGAGCTAAATATAACAAGGAGAGGAAGCGCCGCCATATCTGGCCCAAATTTGGGTTCGGCAGAGACCCTAGAACAGATTAGTGTTCTATTGTTTCTGGGGTCGGTCTGCACAGCCGTTTCAGCTGATTATGGTCCATAGATGGCGCCCTTGAGGCAAAAAGCACACAGCCAATCCGCTTCCTCTCCTTGTTATATTTAGCTCCTTGCTCCGCGCGAGTGCGTCGGCTGCTGGCTTTCGGCACGGCCGGGGAGGCGGCGGGACCACAGTTAGCTTTCGGCGGCGCGTCGTCAGAAGCTTTGTCGAAAGTCGCGCTGAAGTTATTGCATTTCAGACTGGTGATGGTCGTGTGTACTGATTACTGATTTGTACTGGTTACTGATCTGGTTTACTGGTTACTGATTTGGTGGGGGAATTTATGATTACTGACACTGCTTTCTATCCATATCTGGAAACAGGACCCAGGGGCTAGCATTCACAGTTGTTCCTGTTTGTGGGGTAGGTCGATCGAACGTTAGTTTGGTGTGCGGCCTAGCTGGGAGAAGGTAGTAGAGCTTAGTCCTAATTGTAATATTTACTTGATATTGGTTTAGACAATTTCACGTTGAGAGTCGGTTCGACGATTCGTGAACGGTGTCGCTTTTCTTTTACAGGTGAGCTGCTCCAGACGGTCACGGAGAACGATATTCCGACGACACTAGTGGATCGGCTGCAGGAAGAGAAGTAGGTGCCCTGTGTGAGGCTACGGTTGTCTTGTCCTCCTCCCCCTCGTCCCTTCTTCACTTCAAGATCATGTCCAAGCCAGGGATGTGTGGTGTCACGAATCCGGGTGCAAGAGATGCGTGTATTGCCGTGCGTCGTTGTATTTGCTGCCGAAAAGTTGTTCGGTGACGGTACGGCGCCTGTGGCACCACAATCTTTGCACGATCCTCATTAGCCGTCGTGTCAGCGAAGCACGTAAAACCTGCTGAAGCAACCTTCCGAGATCAACGTTCGTCGCGTACGTGACAACGCAGCGAGGCGCTTGCGCGTGCGCATGTCAGTGCGGCTTAAGCCTAGCGTAGACTTGCGACTTTTGGTTGCTTGTCACTGCAACCTGCAACCGCATGCGATCGGTCGCACGCTTCACTGTGTGTGCGCGTGCAAGCGACTGCTGTTAACAGCAGTCGCTTCTTTGCATTGTCTATTTGTCTTTCCATTGTCTTTCCATGACTTATATTACCCACATGCATGCGATTTCGATGCGATTGCGAGCGACTAGTTGCTGAAAATCAAACCTGTTTGATTTCTTGCAACTCGTTGCAAGCGACCAGAATCGCTACGAGTTGCAGTTGCTTGAAAAAGTCGCAAGTCTGCGCTAGGCTTTAATGACGTTTGATGCTCTCACTGTTTCAGGAAGCAGGAAGCCATCCGACGAAAAGAGCGAAGTGAGGCACACCTGTTCATGACGATACTGGTGCGTTTAATCACGTGTTATGTTCACCTTAGCGTGTTCACCTAATAGCCGTACTGTGATGATTTCGGTGTGAGCATCGGGATGCTGAGTGCATAATTTTACAGATGGTATAAAAAGGGTCTTGAGCTGAGAGTGTGCTTTCTTATTTATCCGAATGTTAATGTCCATGTTCTTTTCTGTACTGTACCGTACTGCACTTTACTGTACTGTACTGTACTGTACTGTACTGTACTGTACTGTACTGTACTATACTATACTATACTATACTATACTATACTATACTGTACTATACTATACTATACTATACTATACTATACTATACTATACTATACTATACTGTATTATACTGTACAGAATGTAATGCCCACAGTGGTTGACGTGGTCTCTCTATTTTACATAGGTGTTGCTAGAGGATGACTTCAATGGTCACCAAGGCAACGACCTCTACGACTCAGACCGAGCTCACTCACGAACGTTTAGGGTGAAGAAAATGACAACTCTTGATGAAGCGATGGACCTGCTAGCCGAAAATATGGTACATAGTCTAGTACATATAGTACTTAACTAATGTGAATGTCGCAAATGTTCACGCGTGTTTGTGAACAATGTCTGATTCGTGAATTGGCTAATTTAGTTGATCTAGTATATTAATAAAAGTATTGTCAGGATTGTTGTCAGGTGTGTTTAACCTATAGATTTAGTCAGAGTGTCTCAAGTACCATGGTCGTTATAGCCTTGCTCTGGATTTTTGCAGAAAATACCTAGACAACAAATGCGGCCGTGGCCATTCAACGTGCGGACAAACCAGACATTCCGGCCGACTGTTCT